GGAGCTGCCGCTCAGAGTAGGGGCCCCCCAGCGGGTGGGCTCGGTCGCTGCTTTATTCATCTCCCCTCTGCGGGCTCAGCTTTTAAACTTTATTGGAGTATCAATATGGACAGAGAAGTGCACCTGTCATGAGTGCACAGCTCAAGACATTTTCACAAAATCGCCAACACCCAGGCCGAGAAGCAGAGCGCCCGGGCCGGCCCCAGGCTTCCTCGGGCCAGTCGGTCCCCAAGGGCCGTGCTGTCCTATTCTGACTTCCTTCCTTTATTTATTTATTTGTTTTTTGAGTTGGAGTCTCACTCTTGTCGCCCAGGCTGGAGTGCAGTGGCACGCTCACAGCCACCACAGCCTCGACCTACTGGGCTGAAGCCTTAGCCTTCCAAGTAGCTGGAACTACAGACACACGCGCCACCACGCCCGGCTTGTTTTTGTGATTTATTGTAGAGACGAGGTCTCACCAAGTTGCCCATGCTGGTCTCGAACCCCTACGCTCAGACAATCCTCTCGCCTCGGCCTCCCAAAGTGCTGGGATTATAGGCTGAGCCACCGTGCCCAGCCTATCCTGACTTCTAACTTATCGATTCGTGTTGCTTGGTCTTGTGCTTTACAGAAATGGATTCAAGCGTTACTTGGACGGCATTTTTTATTTTATTTTTTTGAGTCTCACTGTTGCCCAGGCTGGAGGATAGTGGCACGATCGTGACTCACCGCTGCCTCAACCTCCTGGGTTCAGATGATTCTTCTGCCTCAGCCTCCCAAGTAGTCGGGACTACAGGCTGGTGCCACAACGCCTGGCTATTTAAAAAAAATTTTTGTAGAGGCAGGGTAATTTGCCTAAGCTGGTCTTGCCTAAGCTATCTTGCCTAAGCTGGTCTCAAACGCCCGGGCTCAAGCAATCCTCTCACCTTGACCTCCTAAAGTGCTGGGATTACAGGTGTGAGTTACAGCACCTGGTGCTGGACAGTATTTGAATGGTTACAAAGCCTCTTGGACTACAGAAATGGAGCCTCAGAGAGGTGGCTGAGACTCCCCCAAGGGAGCAGTGCTCCTTGGCCTGCCTGGAACCCCCATCCCACCCTGCACATTGGTGACAGGAGGCTCTGGGCCTACAAGACCTCGGTTTAGAAGACCCAGCTTCCAGTGGGACTGGGCCCTTCCCCCAAAGGGTGAAGACAGGCTCCTCCAGTCCCTTCCTCAGAGGTCTCTCTGCTGGAGTAGAGTGCCTGCATGGATCCCTTACGTGGGTGACCACAGGTGACCAGAACCTAGTTCCTGCCCCCAAGGACTCTTGCAGAGGGAACTAAGAGGGTCCCAGGTCTTCTGGTCTCTCTGGATTCATTCAGCAAACACACATCGAAGATCTGAGGGATCCCATGAATGCTGGGAACACACTGGTGAACTTGACGAGCCTTGGGGAGTTCACAGTGAGCCTGGCGGGCAGGGTGGCCCCTTGGGGGCACCACACCTGCAGTGCACTGGGAAGTGGGCTTTTGAGGAAGGGGCTCCCACAGGCATTCAGAGGCCTCCAGGCTGAGAGAGGCAGTTGTCCAGTCTCTCTTTGGGTAGATGTGTCCCAGGGCAAAGCTGGGTCCTAAGAAGTAGGGATCCCCTGCCCACGGGACCACTCAGGCCAGGTTTCCCCTCACCCCTGTACATAGCTTATTTCCCCCTCGGGATCTCTGCTTCCCGGAGCCCAGACTGCCCACGACACCTGTCCAGCCTTTGGGCTAAAGAAGAGGTCGCCCAGGTGAGAGACCGCCGTGCAAGGAATCTAGTGAGGTGCCTGCCTGCCAGGAGGGAGTGACTCCTGGGTGGGGGGGTGGAGCTGTTGTCCACCACTACTCCAGCAGGCCCTCCTCTGCCACTTGGGTCTCCATGGGCACCTGGCATCCTCAGCCACCTTTAGGGGAGTTTCCCACACCCCCCTTCTGGTGCTTCTTGAACTGAGCAGGATAATGTCTGCTGCTGAATCCAGGAAGGCTTCAGGTTCCTGAGTTCTCCAAACTGTGAGTCTAGGGTCAATTTCTCTTGCCTTTTGCTCCAAGACCTCTGGGTTTCAGCTCTGTATTCTGAGGGTTCCAGGCTATTTCCTCTGCCACAGGGGTCTGGAACCACCTTGCCAGCTCTCTAGATTCCGCCAGGCCACAACCTCCACAGGGCCTGACTGTCCCGTGGCTGCCATGACTCTTGGGTTCTAGAATTCTTTGTCCTTCACTCTGGCCTCTAACCCCTGGTTTCAGCATGCTCAAGGTGCCCAGTCTGGACCCCACACTCCAGACCACCTGGTCCTAGCCCCCCCGACTCCCTCTGTGCCTTGACCTAAAGCAGCAACTCCCAGCCTGTTGCTGCAACTCATGCCTATGATCCCAGGACTTGGGGAGGCCAAGGCAGGAGGACCTCATGAGTTCGTGACCAGCCTGGGCAATATAGTGAGACCCTGTCCCTATAAAAAGATAAAAAATTATCTAGATGTGGTAGTCCATGCCTATGGTCCCAGTGACTCAGGAGCCTGAGGCAGGAAGATCCTTTGAGTGCAGGAGGTCAAGGCTGCCATGAGCCAAGACGGAGCCACTGCCACTCCAGCACAGGTGACAAAGCAAGACCCCAGTGCTAAAAATCTTTTTTTTTTTTTTTTGAGTTGGAGTCTCACTCTGTCGCCCAGACTGGAGTGCAGCGGCACACTCATGGCCACCACAGCCTCGACCTGCTAGGCTCACGCAATCCTTCCACCTCAGCCTTCCAAGTAACCAGAACTATAGGCACGCACTACCACACCTGGCTAATTTTTTTTTATTTATTGTAGAGATGAGGTCTCGCCAAGTTGCCCATGCTGTTCTCAAACCCCTGGGCTCAAGCTGTCCTCTCGCCTCGACCTCCTGAAGTGCTGGGCTTACAGGTTTGAGCCACTACGCCCGGCAAAATCTTTTTAATAAAGTAAAACTGAATCAGGCTCAGTGACTCAGTCTGTAATCCCAGCCCTTTGGGAAGCCGAGGTGAGTGGATTGCCTGAGCCTGCGGGTTCAAGACCAGCCCAGGCAACTTGGCAAGACCTCGTCTCTACAATAAATTTTAAAAATTAGTCGGGCATGGTAGCACACACCTGTAGTTCCGGCCACTTGGAAGGCTGAGGCGGAAGGATTGCTGGAGCCCAGTAGGTCGATGCTGGGGTGGCCATGAGTATGCCACTACACTCCAGCCCGGGCAACAGAGTGAGACTCCAACTCAAAAAAATACAATACAGCCGGGCTCGGTGGCTCAGCCTGTAATCCCGCACCTTTGAGAGGCTGAGGTG